CAACAATGCATCCGCTGAACACAGTTCTGCATTCTACATCTATCGATTTGCTCCAGTCGATTGTGGTCCGTGGTGACATTGATACGCCATCGCTGCAAAACATTGAAACCATCGTCGTCGGGAAGCTGTTCATAGCGGTCCACACTCGGCGACTAGACTTGCAGAACAAGCTGCTTCATGTACTCCATTCCATCATCTCCGCTTTCAGCATCGAGGTAGATCCCAGGCCGAAGCGATTGACTAGGTCTCCCGCCCCAGATGGTGATAGCGTCAGGCAGGAACACGCCAGCACTAGCAAGTCCACCGCATACACTCTCCACCCTCTTTTGCTTCAGACACTTCTTGATGGGCTGTCTACTCCAAGCAACCGCCCCTTACTTCAACACTGGCTTGACTTCATCATGATGACCATTTCACAATTCCACAACATGCTGCAGACGCTCATCGTCCCTCTTACGGATTGTGTATGTCGACAGCTCCGGATTGCTCTGTATGAAGTCCTCAAGGCTCCGTCAAAGAAGAAGTCCTGTGGAGACATCAATACATTCACCACTGATGCGGATTTCACTATGTTGCTTACTGCCTTGGAACGTCTCGTCTCTCTTAGTCTTGCACACATCGCCGTCGTAACTCAGGATGAAGATGAGTCGTCCGTTCCTGAGAAGAACGACGGTAGTGGTCTCCTAGGATACGTTTCAAACGTATTCAGCTCGGACGGTACCACTCTTCCTAACGAAGACCAGCAGCCCGTACGTTTCTTCATTTCCAGCTATGTTGAATAATTCATGGACCAGAGAACAGAGTAAAGCAAGTGACTACCGGTGTCTGCGAGAGTCCATTCGAGTCTTGTTCTCGATTTGGACGACGCTTGTGGTGCCGGAGTCAAATACGCCGTCCTCACAGGACGAATCCGTTTCCCTCATTTTCACGAGATCAAGATCACGGTGCCGTCGTGTCTTGGAACATCTTTTCCGTGCCCATGCGCTGGAAGTGTTAGAGTGCATTATTGACTGTTGGAGTATTGACCAATCCGTGAGTGGACGAAAGCGTCGATCATCGCTCACCCCACTCATACTTATGTTTCTGTAGGATAACTCGGTAGCCCTCGACCTGGTGGACGTTCTCACTCCTAGTGCCCAGAATGTGGTGAATATGATCTGCGAGAGCATTACGATCCGTACCCCTTTCATCCAAGAAAAGGCGGTGAGGAGATCGCCCACGAATCCCAATCTGTAGGTTCAGGTGGTTTGTAGTGGCCGTCACTTTGACTCACGGGTTTTCGACAGGACGGACTTGACGCTCTTCGACTTCCTCGAGCAGTATGCTCGGCGTTTGGAGGGACCAGTGGCAGTGCAGGTCTGGGGACGGTTCTCCCAACTAGCGAAGGATATTGGGTCGGGTCTGCGGGAGTTCAAGACTATTGCCTTCTCCACCCTACGGTATGCCTCCGGCGGTCAAACTGAGTTGGTTATATTGCTCATAGTCGCATTCCAGGTGTTTCACGGTACTTGCGGACAAGATCTCACAGACGACTATCGTGGAGGACCGTAGGATCCGTAAGGAGCTGCAGGTCAGTGCATTTCTGTTGATTTACGAACGCAGCAGTCTCAACCTTTTTCCTAGGATGTTTACACCCGACTGCTTGACGTATGCTTACTCGCTGGCCGCTCTCCGGAAGGCACTTGGCTACGGAAAAATAGTGCCTTGCAAACGAACGGAAGAGATTCCCCTCAGATTCGAGGTACGTGTGGCTGTTCGTCGTGGATGTTTCTTTGTGGTTTGACCCGACTCATAGATGTCAAATTCGATGAGAAAACGAACGCTAGCTCAACATCGCTACCTGAAACTGCAAAGGGTGGTTGGGGGGTGGATATTATTGACAGGGTGCGTATATATGTGATACGACGGGTGACATACCTCGCTCAATTCTCTTTCAGATCAACCTGTACATTACTTCCGATGTCGTCCCGAATCTGCGCAAATTCCTTGCTGACAGCGACAAAGTTTTGGCAACGTGCAGCAGCATTGTGCTGGCGACGATCAACCCCGCAATGAAAGGCCGCTCACGGTAAGTGGCTCAGCTACCGTGTTACCCGCGCATGTTGCTGAATGCCATTCTGGTAGACCACTGGACGTTGATGATAACGTGCTGTCAGTGCTACGAGAGATGACAAGACTCAGCGTGGCAATGAAGGCATGGCGAGCACCGATTGTTGAGGTTTTGAACGACAATCGCTGCTTCAATTCGACTCCAAACGCGGGTAATAAGTGGAGACTGATGATTAAGATGCTGTTCGACACAGACAAGACGGCACTTACAGAACTCCTGAGTGAGTACCGTTGGGAGTTCAATTGGGATGAGAAATTGATCATTCCTGCGTAGGCCGAGTGACAACAGCGCCATCCGCCAACATCTTCACCAATCGGGAATACGAGATGCTTCTTAGGTCTCTCAACCTCCGACGTCTCTCATACGTTCTCCTATCTGGGGAGAAGAACCATTTCTTGACGCAACTGCCTACCATTCAAGAGAAGCTCGTGGATACGCTACGCAACGTGAACGCCCCCATTGTGCAGAGTGAAGTGTATCTATGTATACGGGTGCTGCTCTGCCGGCTGTCGCCTCATAATCTGTCAAGTTTCTGGCCTGTTATCCTCACTGAGATGGTAACCGCTTCCCTTCAATTCATGGCTATTCTTTGCTCATGTATCCCGTTTACAGTATCGCGTCTTTGAGCAGATTCTGGTCTCCATTCCTCCAGATGGCTCAGAAGAACTTGGTCTCATCCTTGCCGCTTCGAAGCTGCTAGACCTCCTGCTTGTACTTCAGACAGAGGAGTTCCAAATGTACGTGTCTTCCCTATCTGCCATGTAGTGGAATATATGCTGATTCCAGCCTTGTAGACATCAATGGATATTTATCACGGACACCGTGGATGCAATAGAAAGACCAGACGATGGGTCAGAAGCATTACTGGACTTACTGGCGGAGGTCGTTGGGGATCTTCCAGCCGCAGAGGTAATGTCACTTGCCCCTTTGTTCTGAATATACCGCTGACATCAAGCAATTCTCGCAGCAGAGCAATCATTCAGAACACGCCATGCCTCCGACACCAACAATGCAAGATCAACGCGGTCGCAGGCCAATGTTGCAGTCCGTGCGGTCGATAGACAGCGTACGCGACCTTGGTCGCTTCTTCTCGCACGCTAGCATTGCGTCGTACGAGAGTGTGTATAGCAGTGGCGGTAACATAGATTGGGTGGCGGTGGAACAGGGTCTCTTGGAGGATATGTTCGATGGACGATGACATCCCATGGACTAAACTTGACGTTTCTTACCCTGCCGCTACGTTACTGTTTGTATAATACCCTTCATTTCGGTGCATATCTGGCTTGCTCTGCATTTTCATTCTACCTTCTTAGTCTCGCGAGTGCGAGGTGTCTGTCCTGGCCAGAGGAACGAGTGCATATATCCAACCTGAGACATAAATACAACGGTATCACAGATTCCATGGGTAGCCGACTTAGAAATCACCCCATTGACGACGGAACTTGTACTGGAACCGGTCCTGTTGATCAGCATGGGTATCATAGAGGATGTAACCATACCGAGCAGTCGTACCTTGTATGGCAAGTTCTTCCTGGAAAACATTGGCAGCATATCAGCTTGCTGCTAGATTAGACTGCGAATAAAACTCACTTGAAACGTTCAGTGGGAGTCTTTGGTGGCTTGTATCCGTCATCCCCAGAGCCCCACTCCTCCCGCACTACACCAGCCTTCTTGGCCTCCTGGAACCGGCGAATAGGGTCATCAGCAGGTGGCGGCCTCGTGAACTTGGGCTTCCCGTCGTTGACGGCGGCTTGCTGGTCAACTCCCGGCTGTTGTTCGATGGGCGGCGGCGTCGCTGGTGCTTCTTCGTGCTCATGGGGTTCGTGCTGGGCAAGGGCTTCCTCGACAGTGATGCCCTGGAAGATGGCCTCGCGTTCAGCCTCCTTTCGCTCAATGGCTTCGTGATGTGCGAAGTGCTCCAGGTCCTCTGGGTGGTTGTAGGACTCGTCGGTTTGGGTTTCGGGTGTATTATGGTATTGTTCTAAGAACTGGATAAGTTAAGCACGGTGGGCAGACATGGGTGTACATACCTTCGTGATGCAAGAAGAACTCTGAAACCAAATGGCATGGTCAAACATGAGACTTGATGCATCGAGCCCATGTCACGTACCGCTCTCAATGTCATAGTGATGGCCCTCGGCGCCGAGATCATCAAAGTTGGGCAACCCATCCAATCCAACAATCTGGAGCTCCTCCAAGCTGACCTTCTCGTCAAAGTCCTTGTCAAGAGCCTTCAAAACGGTGTCCACAATTGTTTTAGCCTTCTTTTGATGCTCCTCGTCGTCCTGCATCGTGATGATTGAGTCGTTGAATTGGGCAGTGATGGAGTCAATACGCACCTTTGATTTCTTCTGAGAGTAGATGTGATGTACACCATAGACCGCCTCTATTTCTTCACGATCCCAGAGCCCGTCCCTAATGCGAAATGGACTTGAGGACGGAACCGATTGGTTCCCGTGAAGTGGAGACTTACCGGTTGAGATCATGAAGTTGGAAGAAGCTTCCAATATCGAAATCATCACTGCAGGTAGCCTTTAGTCACAGGAAAGGCGCGAGACCTTCCAAAGTGCTCACATATGATGTTCCGTCGACATCTACGAACGCGTCCATAAGAATATGAGCGCAATGAATTGGACATTGGAATCACGTACGTGTCTTTGGGCATACTGCTGAATAGTCTCTCCTTCTGCCGGTCCCTCGTGCCCACCACCATGACCACGAGCGAGCTGAACGCCCCCGAGAAGAAGGAGAGTGATAAGACCCTGCATGACTGTGGGTGTACAGTGAGAGTTCGAGGCGGATGAGAGGAGTCTGAGGACGCGCCGTCGTGGCAACGAGCGTGTCACGAGGTGACGCCTGGTATATTTACAATCTTTGTGGTCCTTTCCATGGGTCGGTGGCGTAGTTGGTTATCGCATCTGTCTAACATGGCCCAGGTTGGAACCTGGTCACGTGCACAGAAGGTCCTCAGTTCGATCCTGGGCCAACTCATTGCTTTTTGATTCTTTCTTTTTCCGCCAAGAATGCCTCCTTCCTCCCTTCCTCCATCGTGGCCTCGAACCGGTCGTCACTGAGCAAGGCGTTGAGAAATCTCCGATACTGTAAGTTTGGTAATAAGTTTATCAGCCCCGTTCTCAAGTATTACCTATTCTATTCATCGACAAATTGCCATGTTCTGTGTAGTCAGAGCCCTACATCCGAATTCACAACAATTCATACCGCGGACGGACAACAGAAGAATGGCGAATGGTTCCATTGCGACAGCTGCACGAGCCATAATATGTATGTACACAACTCTTGTTCTACAAGAGTTCACAATACCAGCAAAAGGATAGATGACGATACTTATACATACAAGAACGGCGCGAAAGCGACGCAGAAGGTTCTCTAGATCTAATTCGTTACTGCTAGACCCAGACCCAAAGGAAATCGAATGCTTGGTGATTTAAAAGTCCAGAGAGAAGCCAGAAGGCGGTAGGGAGAGTGTAAGAACGAAAGAGGCGCAGTGTCCTCTTTGTTCTGGAGCAGGCGGAACGGGGATGGAAGCAGTAGTGGGCGTGACCGCTACAGCAGGCTTGGATTTGGGCGGAGGTTCCGGGATTCGCGTCGCCGCGTCGGGTACCGGTATATATGCAGAAGGCGGTGAAGGAGACGAAATGACACTTGACGTTGATATCGGTGGTATGAACGCCTTCGGCGGTGCACGCGGGCTCGACGGCACACGTACGACTGACGACGCCAACGTCCCGGCGTCCCCCCTCGAAAGCTCCGATGGCGCGTTCGTACTCCTACTCTGTCTTGCCGGGTTTCCTGAGCTCAACGTCCACCGCATCGACCGTCTCGCCGACGGCGGTGGTTGATCTCCAGAACTGGCGGTGGACAGCCCGTCTCCGCCGTTCCGGAGTATGGAGGGGGTTTTGACTGCTGCACCGCGGGAGACGGTGGATTGGAGAGTCTGACGGCGGGTGGAAGGAACGGGGGCATCGCTGATGGTCATGAAATCGGAGGGCGTCTTGTAGCCTGGGATGAGAGAGAGGCGGAAGGCGACGTTGATCACGGGTGATGGGGTGTCAGTGGTTGGGTCGCGCGCTGTTGGGAGAGGAGGTTTGTCGTCGGATGTGGGAGGGCCGCTGGGGCGTTTCCAACACATCCAGACGTTGAGGCAGTCCTGATGGTAAGGTTAGCCGATGTCGCGAGCGAGAGATGGAAGGGGCATACCATTGCTGTTCCAAAAATAAGGAAAGTACCCAGGGGCACTGTATAAATAACTCGTGAGTATGCCCTCGTTCATGTCAGTATTCGAGGTAATCGCTTACTGAGAGCCTCATAGACGATGGGAACTACATGTGTCCCAACCGAGGAAAAGTAAAAATCGATCACCGAAAGGCTGGGCTGGGTGAGGATCAGTTTTTCCATCAAGGACTGGGTCACTTACATGATATAATTGAGTTGCAAGACGGTAAACCCAGCGATCCGAAATGTTTGAGATAGTGTAAAGAGGGTCGATGACTTTGCTCTTCTAACACCATACCAAGTTCTGCGTAGCTTAACGATGGTATATGCTGATAGGGATTCAGGCTGGAAGATGGCGGGAACTTTGATAGCAATAAGTACGAACCTTCCAGCGAGATGGTAGCCGCCACAACAATCAAAGTGAAACCTTCAATGATCCGGGAGCTAGAGACAGCAAGCAGTGAGCTATGAAGCGGGGGGACGTGGAAAAGGATATCTACAAAACAACCATGTTGACTTTGCAGTATAGCTCATTGCGGTGGTGTATCACCGTCTGTGGATGTGAGCCTCCGAGCTGAATATTTGAGTGAGTACGAACTCCGCATTCTGCAGACGGGAACTCACGCCAGCCGCCACACTAGCAAATACCACGAATGTGGCATAGGGCGCACAGATGAGCTGTAGACAGCGGTTAGCACAATGACATCAGTGTTATGTGCACGACATCACTCACTCTCATCGAGGTCATATATTTCCTAGTGACCATACTGATAACAACCAGATCAGTGCCCTGCAAGAACTCAATTACGAGAGCCAGCGATGCCACAACGAACCTGCTCACGGAATTAGTAAACGATGAGAACTCGCAGAGGGAGACTTACATGGGGTCGGTGCCATGCTTAAGAATCGCTTGTAGCATACAAAGTCCCCTCGGGGGATGCGGATTGGTATACTGATTGGTGTAAAACCTAAGAATATAAATATCTTCGTTTAACTGTAAAATCTGGGCGTTGGAATGGGGAACATACAATAAGGCAGGAGTAACACTGCATATTACGGTAACCACGAGAAGATTGACCAGGGTCGCATTACGCTGGCGAACGTTGGGAGACAATAGCAAGGTAGCAATGAGTAAAATGATGACTGCCTGGCCAATAGTATTCAAAGTGAAGCACGCCACGATAAGAGCGATCGGGTTTGCGCCAAGGAGGTTATACCAAGAGTCAGCACCGTGGCCGCGGGAATGAGAGAGGAAGGAGGGGGGAGGGGGAGGGATGACCATGCTCTGCAGGTGCCGGAGTTGAACAGCCCAGCAATGAACCAGTCAAAGCGGCGATACTCAGAGAACAGGGGAGTATGAATGCAGCGTCGTCGGACGGCTACATACAGGCCAGGCATGGAGCAGGAGGGGAGGGGGGCGGAGAGGACGCGTTGCCATTATAGCAGACGAGATCGCTGTCATCTTTCGTGACGACGCGATGGTAAACTGTCCATTTTGGAACAGCTGTGGGATGTTTTGGGATCAAGCAGTTGACATCTTTCAAGTTCATGCATCAGCCCGAGACAACAACTGGCAAGATGGCGGTGTAGTAGGTCCCCATAGGCGCCCATAATGGCCGTGAGAGCGACCTGCCGTTCCTGGACTGAGTTTGTTGGTTCCTCTGGTCGCCGACCCTGCCATCTTTCCCGACCTTGTTCTCGACGTCCTCGGTCCTTTAGACAGCGAGCATCCACGAGAGGGTCTGCCCCGACATTCGCTTTGTTTCTACACTCGGTCTCTACGTGCATCCATTCGCGTCGGTCGATCTCCCCGACGGCGTTCATCCATTATCGAACAGTCGGTCAGTGCTCAAAATTTCCCCGATCTACCGTCAAGCATTGACAACTTATAGACCCTCAGACCAATGCGCAAGTCGTAGCGTATTATATCTCCAAGCTAACCCAAGTCACTCCCTATGACCCTTATGCCAAACACGACTCCTTCAGCTCATTCCTCTCAGCTCTCACCGAACACCCCCGGTCCCTCTTCACCATGGCCCATTCCACGCGCACCACTGCCCCCTCATCGACTAGCTAAGCTAGCCAACGCTCTTGGTATTTCAACGCCAGTTCCACATACTCATGCCTACAGTCTTTCCCCCAGCTCACCAGCCTCCCTACCCAACACATCATCATCATTAACTTTCCCCGACTTGCGACGATCCCCTACGCCTTCCTCATCAACCTACCAATCCCACACGCCCTCTGTCTCTGCTGCCTACTCCAAATACCTATTGCACGTTCTACCCCCGGAACACCTGCCTCATGAATTTTCTGACCCTGATGATCTCACACTGGCTCCTCCGTCCGCCTCGGGGTACCATACACAGTTTCGACGCGGTGTCATGGTCCCCGTTTATCCAACACTGCAAGCTCAGCTGGGAGCCATAGCCCGTGAATACGCGCTTCCCAGTACGCTGGGTATGGTTTTGTATCTCGTTACGAACCCGGATCCTCCCTCCGCCGTCGATGAACCCGGTCCCAGGATATCAGAAGACATTTGGAAACACATATGGATGCGGGTGCTGAGGGCTGAGAAGGAAGAGCTCACTTCCCCAGGTCCTCGCCCTCTCGGTCTGGGCTTCAGCCTCGCAGGTCAATCATCTCCAGCATTACTACAAGACATTACAGCAAACGGCCATTCGCTGAAATCTATAACACTGCCCACACGAGCCGACACCCAACAGTCAATGACCCCATCTCCATCTACCCCCTCCAACTCAGGATATTCGTCCCAGTCTGAGCTTGAGCCCCCCGAGTCTGCCTCTTCTGTGGCAGCGTCTGGTGATATAGGCGCGAGCGCCATCCGGTTGCCTGGCCTCAACTCACCATCGTTGATACCTATCCTCGCCAAGGTGGAGTTTGATATTGATCGACGGAGAGCCGGGTGGTACGAACCTTGGGTACGGAGTAGGAAAGTGCAGCATGCGAAGAGGGCGGAAAGCAGGGCTGGGGCGAGGAGCAGGAGTCGGATGGGTTCAGCATCCGAAGCAGGGGAGGGTCCAGAAACACAGTCTCAAGCAGGGACCAGGGCGGCGCCGATCGACTTAGAACTGCTCAGGAGGATCAACGCTGATGGATCATCTGTTCCAAGGTTCTTGGTCACCCGTGATGGCACGGCTGATGATGGGAGTGCTGGGGAAGACGAGGAGGAGGAGGAGGACGCAGGCTACCAACAGTTAGAGGATGCGTCGCCTGTGGGAGAGGACGAGGAGAGCGAGCGGATAAGTGGTGATCCATTGGCTGACGTCTTTGGGACCGATCATGAAACCTGGGCTGAAGTTCACGCAGAAACTCAGGCGCAGCGCAGTTCGATGCGGAACAGCAATCCCCATGTCGTGGATCTGGCGCTGGATGCTGCTGCCCTCAACTCGCTTCCCGATGACTTGGAAGAGGACGAGGATGAGATAATGTCGGACGACGAGGGCGAAGTCACCCAATTGCTGAACGCCATGAACCGGCCATCACTTTCGCTGGACATCCCAACAACCATGACTCCGTCGAACGACCCTGAAACTGCAGCGACATTAAGGAAGCATGTCCCACCACCGCTGACCCTGGTCCCCACCGATGGCCTCCACCCACCCTCAATCAGTCCCCACTTGGATTCTGCAAATAGTCAAAGTGAACATTTGGCATACCTCAAGACCCCCTCAGAAGCGGAACATCCTTCAGCGCTGGACGAGCCGCCTATTGAGATCGAGGTGGAGGTGGATGAC